CAAGTCCTTAAGTTCATGATTGTCTGTGATTTCTACCATTTGATTAACAAAATAACAAGATCCACTTGCTATGTTTAAATTATATTGAGGAGGAGGAGAGAGAGTCCATCAGACCTCGGACTTTTCTTGGAAAAATAGCAAAAAGTAAAAATCTGTTTTTAATCATTTGTTGTCTGGTTCAGAACCAGTTCCTCTTGTTTCATCGATGACATTAATTCCATTAGAAGATGATGGGAAACTTGATCAACCTTTGATGTTTGACACAATCTGTTGGTTTGTGAGAAGAGCAGAGTGCAGGGGAGCAGTTTGACTCTGTTGAATTTGTGTCTTTAAATCCCCCAGAACCATAAAACTATGAGTAACTAACAGCTAAAATGATGCCATCTGATGAAAACGCTAACTTCAGCAATATACAGTACCTGTAGTATCCCATCTTCTAACTTAGAAAATAAAAATTAGACAGTGTTTAGCCGATTGTGATGCAATCTAAATGTTTCTGTTCTGATTCCCTAAATATAAAATATTGTGCTTTAGGACACGTTTAACTCCTGCAACATGATCTGGCCTGAGCCGAAGGACGTGTGGTCGACAGCCTTCATCATTTATACGGCCACAGTCGGTTTCTTTGGACCCCTGCTCATCATCTGCCTCTGTTACCTCCTCATCGTTGTTAAGGTATTTGTCTGAGAATAAAATCCTGAAGTCTCCACATTGTTCCCATCTGTTCGATCATCAGAGTTAAAACGTCCGTCCTGTTGCAGGTGAAGTCCTCTGGGGCTCGGGTGGGCTTCACTAAACGCCGGCGCTCAGAGCGTAAGGTGACTCGGATGGTGGTGGTGATTGTGGTGGTGTTTGTGCTCTGCTGGCTGCCGTTCTTCATCATCAACATGGTCAACCTGGTGGTCATCATCCCAGAGTCCAGTGCCACTGCTGGGATCTACTTCTTCGCTGTCATCCTGTCTTACGCCAACTCCTGTGCAAACCCGCTGCTCTACGGCTTTCTGTCGGACAACTTCAAGCAGAGCTTCAAAAAGGTTGGTGTTATACTGATATATATTTCAGTTAAACACTGTTTCATTAAAGTATACATTGTGAATGACTTTCAGCTACTACCACTTTGAATTTTAGTTCATATCTGCAAAATATCCTGAGTTGTAGCTATTTTTGTGATGGCTATTGTGGTTTAGCTGTGGTGCTCATCTTATATTGGAATGATTTCAAAAGTTAATTAATTGTAGATGTTTATTCAATGATTGATTTCTGAAAGTTTCATAAGAATCTTTCCTGTGGTTTATGAAATATTTTGCTAACAGACACAAGGTTTACTCCAAAAGTTTAAGGCAAAGATCTGACACTATAAGTAGGGCTATAGATGTGTTGTGAATGACTCTCAGTTACTACCACACCACATTTTAGGGCCATATCTGTAAAGTTGACTGAGTTACAGACATATTTGTGTTGTTTAAGGTCTACTGGCTCGGGTAGCCATCTTGAAATGAGTTGGCTCCAAAAGTTAATCACTTGTTTGAGCACATCCCTGAATTATTTCCTGCACGTTTCATTAAAATCCATCCAGTGGTTGATGAGGTATTTTGCTAACAGACAGAAAGTTGACTCCAAACAGTTAAAAGCAACATTTTAAACAAAGATTGTGTAAAATCTATTAACACTCAGAATATGTGTTGACGATCAGCCTCAGCTACTACCGCATTAAACTTTAGGTCAACGTGTGTGAAATTGGCTGAGAAATTACAGGTTTTGTGTTTTTAAGGTGTTTTGGTTGTGGTGGCCATCTTAAACCAACATGAGTTCACCCACCTGGGTGGTGAGTGTTAATAATACCAGAGAAAATGCATTTCCTGCAAAAATGCAGTGTGAATTCTTATTGCAGAAGAACTTGCTGAAAAACAGCTGAAATTGGAAAAAAAAATGCTGAAATGTAGCTGAAATAAAGAACAAGCCTAAAGTAGCAGAAGAGAGCAGAAAGAACACATATTTGCTGAATTAGGTTTAAATAAGCAGAAATGAGCAGAACAATTGGGAAATTAACTAAAAAAGTTGAAATTAGCAAAAATAGCTGAAAAGGCAGAAAGAAGCTTAATGAAACGGAAAGAGCTGAAATTAGTTAAAAAGGGTGGAATTAGCTGAAAAAGCAAAAATTTGCATGAGACAGATAAATAGAAGCTGAAATAACAGAGACTAGCCGAAAAAAGCTGAAACAAGCATAACAAGCTGAAAGCATAAAGAAGTGAATTAGACTGAACGTAACAGAAATTAGTTAATTGCACAAAAAAAATTCTGAAAACAGCTGAAATGAGTTAAAAAATGATAAATTAGCTGAAAAGGTAGAACAAGCTTAAATTAGCAGAAAAACACATTTGCCCAATTAGGCTGAAAGAATCAGAACTGAGCACAAACATAATCAGAGTCAGAGATTCTTTATTGTCATTCGCACCTCATGTGGTACATGTGGTGGAGCGAAATTATGTACACGGGGTCCCAGTTACATCCAACAATAAAATGTAAAAGAAAAACAGTAATAACATCCAAGATATGAACTAAGAACAACATCAACTAAATATACACTAAGCACTCATAACATAAAAACATTGAACATCAGCACAAACATGAACATGAGTCTGTGTGAGCAGATGAGCACGCATGAACACATCAACATTGAAACAGATCA